ATCAAGTCTCCTTTTTGAGGTAGGAGTATTGTGCGATCTTTGCAGAACCATGGGGGAACATCACCTGTGTCCACAAGAGAATTGAAACAGTGAAGTAATGGTGTATTCTGTTTCAAAAATATATTTTTCTTTTCCCCTTTTTTTTCTTTTTTTCAGTCCAAACCCTTTAATTTTGCCTGAAGGGAATCGACAATTTGGAGAAGTACCTTTTCTTTCGTTGCCTTATAATGTAACTTTAATTTTCTCTAAATTGACTTTTGTCGTTTAGACATGGGGTTCCCTGGCGATCTTATTTTAAGGCAAAGCTCTATCCAGGAAATGTTTCTTTAGTTTCATTAAGTTTAATTAGAAACCGGTTTTTCTTTGGTGTCGTGTTCTTAGCATTGGATGTTTTTTTCTTTGGAAACTGTGTGAAGTTCCTCCAAAGTTCGAGCGACAGCATAGACACAGCAATTAACTTCATGTAACAAAGAGTCCGCAGAAAGTTTCAAAGAAATAGCTTCATTTAATAAATCAGTTTCATATTGGAAAAAGAAACGTTTAGTTGTTTAATCGGCCTCCGTTTTTCCAAAGGTGAATCACAAATTTCCCCATAAATAGAGTTAAACAGAATATATACAGGGTTCTCAGAAGATCTGCAACTGAGGAAGAAGAATGAGGATATATTGGGCGGAAAGTTGGGAGTATGAGACAGACTACTGGCAAGGTACGAGCGATACAAAGCGAGTGTGGCTCCTAAAAGGAGCGAAACGCATTAAAAAAAACTAATCTCCTAGTAATATTAGTATTTGTATTTTGGAAAATAAATATATCGATCTGGGTAGGCAGAAGATGTCCTTCATTTAATCACGCTCTGTTGATCACAGCTTGTGATGGAACAATGCAGTTGACGGCAGCCGGCATGGTTGTGCCTGGGCGAGGTCTGCCAATAGTTCAGGTCTGAGGTTGTATTGTTGACATTCATCAACTGACCTGAGCCAGGTGCTTGATGCGATAACTATTGTCAATAACTAACTCTCTGCTTAACTGACAACGTAGTCATGCGACATACTGAAATCGGGAAATGAACGACAGTTGGCGCGGTAAGGCGAGGTCACCACTACTGTCAATATGTAGGCCTATATACGATTTCAAGGTTTTCCGCGCAAGACCTATTTCTAGGGCATCGAACTCGTCTGCCAACGGCTATACCAAGTTTTGCGCGTGTATTGAAAAGCTGATAGTGATTATATGTAACTTGACAATTCCCTCTGTGAGGTACGACTTATGCAGAGACCAGTTGATATTGGCGACATATATTGTGTTGTCTATACTGAACAGCATTTGGAATGATATGCAATCTTTATCATGAGACTGACTATGCATACATTCATTAAACATTCTCACAGGTTCACAAATAGGTTGGACTCGTAAAACAATCAGAATTGCTCTTCAGCAACCCCATGTTGTAGTCAGAGGGAACTAATGTGACCGGGCGGTCGTTCTCACTTATTTGTTTGATGCCTGCATCGTATCCCACTTGCGAAGAAGGCGACTACCGGGATCGGGTGGTCAGGCTCGCTGACTTGGTTGACACATGTCCTCGTATCCCACTTGCGAAGAAGGCGACTACCGGGATTGGGTGGTCAGGCTCGCTGACTTGGTTGACACATGTCATCGTATCCCAGTTGCGAAGAAGGCGACTACCGGGATTCGGTGGTCAGGCTCGCTGACTTGGTTGACACATGTCATCGTATCCGACTTGCGAAGAAGGCGACTACCGGGATCGGGTGGTCAGGCTCGCTGACTTGGTTGACACATGTCATCGTATCCGACTTGCGAAGAAGGCGACTACCGGGATCGGGTGGTCAGGCTCGCTGACTTGGTTGACACATGTCATCGTATCCGACTTGCGAAGAAGGCGACTACCCGGATCGGGTGGTCAGGCTCGCTGACTTGGTTGACACATGTCATCGTATCCCAGTTGCGTAGATCGATGCTCATGCTGTTGATCCCTTGATTGTCTGGTCCAGATCCGATTATTTACAGACCGCCGCCATATAGCTGGAGTATTGCTGAGAGTAAACTCACTCACTCACTCAGTCACTTGCGAAGATCGATGCTCAGAGTGTCATGACCACGTTATGTGTAAGCGTTTTGGGTATGTCATTAGATACTAAAATTGAAACCTGCATATTTTAATGAACGTTATAGTACGAGCATTATGTTCAAATAAATGTTATCTAGGAATATCTTTGAGTTGTCCATACAACTAGGCACTTTACGTTTTGTATTTAAAGCAAGACGTTTCTGTCGTAATAGTTCCTCTGTGATAAAGTTGCAAAAAGGTTTAGAGACCCTTGAGACATTCCCTGGCACCAGGCCACAACCCCCTAGCCCAGACGACACCCAAGTCCCCCCTCTGAGTGAGTGGGTTTTGCGCCGCTTTTGGCAATATTCCAGCAATATCACGGCGGGTGACACCAGAAATGGGTTTCACTGTCCTCATGTGGGGAACCGAACCCAGGTCTTCAACACCATACAAAACCAGCTCGTGGAGGTCTCCAAAGTGGTCAAATATACATTCTCCACGAACAGGTGCCAATCTTCTTTTGTTACCTTTCCAAAATGAACTTTTTTCCTGTCATACTTATCTTAAATAAAAATTGGATGGTGCTTGGATAAAACTGCTTCCCTTCAGCTGCCCTAGATATTGTGATACAGACACTCAAAAAACAGACCAAAGTCTTTGTCACGTGACAGATACGTTACATCTAGAATTCCAGTTTGAGGTCAGTTTTCATGCAATTAGAGAGGTATTCATTTTAAAGCTTGTGTAATAGAATACTTTTGAAATGAAACGTGCATTAATTGAATAGGGTTTTGTTTTTCCTTTTGAGTCACGAAATATGATATTTTCGTATTTCCTGATATTGCTCAAAATACTTTTTCATCCAAATTGCATATGAACTATTATTTAATTGATAAGGTAAAACATGTTATTTATTATTCTAGAGATAGCTGTTTTTATATGTTCTCATGCTTTATAAGGCATCATTTCAAAAATATGTTGTCAGAGACGCAAGAATTAAGTGTCTCTATAGAGTTGCAGAAAGTAACTTATCTGTCAAATTTGCAAAACTCAAATGTCTATAGTTAAAGAAAACAGACTTAGATTTCCACGTTGTACCAAGAAATGTCCACACTTAATACAGCAGTCACTGTTTCCACAATTAATATAGCAGTCAATGTTTTCAGACAAATATTTACTTGAAGATATTTACGCTGAAAAATTCAGCTTCCATTGTGACGTATCTGTTTCTAGTTTAGTTCCTTCGTAGCAAGCGGTTTGGATCTCCTTGTGTGTGGAGCCCATTTCTGGTGTCCCCCGCCCCGATATTGCTCGAGTATTGCTAAAAGCGGCGTAAAACCAATCTCTCACCTCGGTAGCAAAACAACCATTTAAACACTAAATGGTGTTGTCATATAGCTGAAGAAATAACATTTTTCATCAACACAAACAAATCATTAAATGTCTCATTTCGCTCAGCACAATGCAGTAACGCATCTATCTGGTCATAACCTCATGTGGGTGTTGAGGGTTACCCATGCAGATGACATGTTTTGTCCAACTACTGTATATCTTTCTTTGTACTGATGAATCATTTCGATGTTGCTGTACACTTGCTGGTATTTTCATTTCATCAAACATATACCATTCTCTTTTTATATTGTTGCATACAAAAAGGTTGGTCAGATGACCTTCATAAACAGATGCGTTACCTTGAAAAAGGTCAACATCAGGAATTGTGATGGCCATAATATGTTGTTACTTACCGGTACCTATTTTCACCAGAGTCCCCCCACAAATATCTGGATAACGTTTAAAAACGTTTTCCTACTCTACTTTAGTCTAATCTCCGATGGCCCGTGAAGGTCCGGGTTAGAATATTGATCTTCGGTAATACCCCCTTCACACTTGAGGCGGAATGAACCGGGATGCTGTCGGAATTCCTGGAAATTCCAACTGCATTCTAAAACTTCTTACGCCATTCCGAATCCACTCCAACTATTCGCGTCAATTGTTGTAACAAGCCTGAATGTTTTGAACATGTTCAAAACTTTCGAGGTACATTCGAAATGGACAAACAAATCGAACAGCATTTGAAGTGCATTCTAACTGCATTCTATTTATTCTTACTGCATTCTAACTGCATTCTATGTATTCTGAACGTATTCGTGGGAGAATAGAAAAGGCAAGCCACTTCAAATCCTGCAAGAATGTCCCAAATGTGCCTCGAATGTACTTCGCGTGCTGCTGGAATTTAGGTGGAACATTCTTCAAAAGTATAGGAATATTTCGATTGCATTTGGAATACAGCTAAACTGTACATCGAATACACCTCGAATACAGTCAGAATGTCCCGAATGTTCTTTAAATGAGCCATGACGTCATCAGAACACCGCCGAATAGCATAAAATCGTAGCCACCTGTCACTGCAGCTTCAGATATCATTGGGAGTCGCCAGTGAAAATAGAAACAACAACAATAACACAATGTCGAGCAAGTACACGTGACTTTAATGATAATAGTTACAACTGGAAGATTGCAGACTAATTTATGCATGTAGCCTACTGATTGAAACGTCAGTGTCCTTTTACTGCAGTGCAATGGTGATCTTGGTTGGAGTATTGGACATCGTCCTTGAACTCAAATTACCATTGCAGCATTTTTACCTCGAATTTTATAAGGTAATTTTGAAATATTATCGATCAATAGTTATTATAATATACGAAAGTGGTGTCCAAATATCTTTGCAGCCACCATTACTTTATTACGAATGTTTGATTTATTTTCAATAAAGGGCACTATTAAACTTCAGCTGTCTACATTTCCCATCGCCCGCTAATCTCGGATACTTATCCCGCTCACTTGGCATACACAAGTTATTTCCCTTAGAAGTCTCTTTGCTCGTGCATGCGCAAACAGGTTTTACCTCACGTGGTGCATTCGCGTCCCAGTCAACAAACGACAGACGGCATTAGGATGGCCTGTCTCTAAAAAATGGCGAATGTGTTTGATATTTTCAATGTCAAGCCCCAAAGCGAAATTGACAGCGGCATTAAATCTCAAGGGGAGTCAGTGTCATTCAAAACTTCTGAATTGAACTGTCAGAAGAGGGTTCTAAGTCAAGACAGCACGGAAGCAGACATTTTTGAAAACAAACATGGCGCGAAGGTACCCGGAAATGATACATTGGAGGAAGAACAAAAATCAATCAGAATGGACAACATACCTTCCTTTGTCATTCCCAAGCTGAAGAGGAAGGAAGAAGGTACATTTACACATATGCAAACTCAGTTGACAGAAGCAGAATGTTTATATTATCAAGATAATGTTCATACAGTTTGAAACGGGTAGTGTTACGCAGTCAGACCCGTGACGTCATGACATTCTTGCTGTGCTAAATGTCATGCGTTCGTGGCATTAATAAGTTATCATAGTTTAACTACATTTTGATATGAACTATCAGCATGTTGTTTTGCTTCACATCAATACATTATGTTTATGATTTTACTTGCAGAATATGTTCAAACTCTGCAGTTTGATACGACTTACGTCATGGATGGTCAAATGCATTGAAAATAATGCAAGCAATATTGGCAATGTCAACCTCCAAATTGATAGGACATGTGATAGATGCATTATTCTGTCGTGCTGATAGGTACTTCCTTCTGTCTGCTGTAGAGACAATAACAATAGAACATCAGCAAGCATCACCAACACATGGTCTCTCCAGTGTAAAAAGATGTCAACAGGTATCATATGGTCACATGTTTTGCACAACATATATTTCTGCTTGGTCATTTTGAATCGTGCTGTGTCTAATTTGGTATGAGATATGCTTCACTGGCATCTTACTTGTCAACAAGCACTGTCCCGCTACCATACCAGTGAGGAAATGCTCAGAATCAAGCCACAGAGCATAAGTTTTTGATCAAAAATGAGAAATATGTCAGTTTGAAACAGAGATAACTAAGACCTAACTCACCACAATGAAAATATAGTATTTATAAGGTTATGGTACTGTCAAAAGGATGATAGTTAGGACTACAGTACTACCAGTATACCGCAAAACGCTTTTCAAACAAGACGTTTTGGAAAAACAATTCTCAGAACCGTTACATTGGGTAAAAATTAAAAATAGTATGTGAAGTTTGAAGATTATCTATATGGTTTACATTAAATCTACCCTGACATTCACAATTGAAGTCTTAACTTCACAATTACCAGTAACAGCATACTTTATATATAATCTGAACTGTATAAAGAAAATATGGGATCCCTGACTGTTCAACTTAAGTTTTGGATTGCCGTTATCAGAACACTAGCGTTTATTTTTTATGCTTCGTATGTAGAAAATAGGATCTGTACGTACACAAAGTGGAACTTGAGCTTCATGTATATTGTAATACTGTATACCAATACATGTACCTGAATTGCAGTATATTTCACTACAAAGAAATTGCCAATGCACAGCCCTAGTCATAGCAATAGTTCGTCTGCTTTTTGTTGATATTGGCAATCAGAAAGTCACATGACATCATTTCAAAGTGTTATGGCCTCACAAGGAGCTTCTGAGAGGATTGCTACCGACTTTACCTTCATGGACGTTTACCATATCAACATGTAGGCAGCATGTTATAACTTTCAAAGCCTCTATCACACCATACTTCTCTAAAAATAGATAATGTATTTCCTTCTATAAACTATCAGCCCTCAGGGAAACTATCATGTAATTTATTCCAAAAAATATATGTATTTAGAGTACAATATTGAATTAAAAATAAAATATTCGAATGAATTAATGCAATGTTGCATTGAATCGACTCTCGCACCCTCTACCATGTGTCTACTGGCCGAACATTATTTCAAGTGAATCCCATAGAGCTATGTCCCTTGGAGCGCTCTTTACCAATATCCTACACACAACCTGTGATTGGCAAGTCATGGGGGATAATAAGTAGTAGTGTTCCGATGATCGAAAGGAGGATTAAAAATAATTATCGATTGTAAAAAACATTTTTTCGATTAATTAGAATTTTGTTGTTTTGGTATAACATACTTGAATGAAGTAAACTAACCATTAAATTTGACGAATATTCATGAACAAACATGCTCAACAGCGTAAAGTAAAGTTTCGTATCCATCAGTACAGTAAATATTACTGTAACCTGTCTATGAATAAATTCTTCATCTATTGTGAACGTAATGAGATATATTGTATAAATAAACAGAATAATTTGTATGTAGAAAGTAAAATTATTGCACTTTTTAAGAATTTAAGAAGAAGGAAAGGTACTTGCCCCAACCCCAATAAATCCAACCTTGACATGACTAAGGCTTTTTGTCACTTTTGCGCGCAAAGACTATGCTTTCAAAGGTTTGTACAAACATCTACCGATACTCGTGTTAATGTATTATATGTCATAGTACATCAAGTAACATCATGACTGAAAGTAAATACGAATCAAATAACGAATTTTATTATCTGTACAGTGTAGAATATGAATAATTCTCACCATTAGTTTCATCATGTTTTGATGTGTTGGTGTGAAATGGTTAATGATTGTTACCATCTTTGTCCGTCAATATTATTGCAAACTATACTGACCATAATACTGATTTTTGATATTTTCACTTCCAAGATAAACGGCTGTCAGCAGTGTGAATGTGTCAGTCTGTCTCAGTGTCAAATCATGGTTTGTTTGTGTACGAAGGCAGCAGCTTTAAGAGGCAATATGAAGAGTAATTACGTACATTATGATCGATAATCATAGACCACAAGTCCTTCGATAATTGTTAGTGGATTTGGTTTCCAATTCCTAACACTAATAGTAAGTCTTTTATTGCATCAATAGGAAGATAAAGTGAGAGCATATGCCTCAATATGTATAATATAGGCCAAAATTTGGTCGAATATGTGTGACATTATGCTTTTAATATTTGTGTGTATTTGATGTCTTATCAAAGTGGAAAACTGATGAGGCTAGTGACTTTAAAAACTGTTTTCTTAAGTTGATTTTTCCATTGTTATCATGGTTATGGCCCTTGCTTCATGTGTTTCAGCTTGGTGCAGACTGCGGGAAATGGGAACAGTTTTTTTCCGGAAACCACTGATGTTATATGACTGAAAGCTTGCTTGCTTATCTAAGAGATAATTATCAAACTTTGGTTCATAAAGTGATGTCAGTTGTCATTAATTCTTTTCTATTTCTACAGGGGTACTTCCCTTGTGACATATTAAGTTTTTTAACCTAAGCATATACCTGATATACAGTTTTAATTAGGTGGAATGTCTGAAAGGGGACGGATATTCTCAGAAACTACTGAACACATGATGAAATTGCTCAAGACAGAGTTCACAAATAGGTGCCGTAATTTTCTATTTATTTTTTTTCAGATTTATGTCACATCCAATCTTTTTTCCTGATGACATTAAGCAACCTTTGAGCCGAGACATCTAGGCTTTATGCGACTCATTTTGTTTTCTTAGTCTTCTTATAGTCTTCTTATGTTCTTCAAACTTCATCAAAAGTTTAACTACTTTTACAAATTGATTCAGCTACTTAAAAATATGGAGTCTGACTTTTCAAGGTGCACACAGTTCCATATATTGATAAAATACACAAACTATATCTTATTTGTCCAATTAATGCTTATTTGCTTTCATAGAGTATGACCGAAAAAATTGAAAACCCAATAGCAAAGTAGCAGTAGGCATAAACATGATAAATTACCAAGTAACCCTTGTTTACTTGTATACATGTATTGGGTAATTTTATATTGATGGGTTTTACTGACTGAATGCAAGCTGACATCTCGTACACCATGAACATGATGAACTCCATGGTGGTAAATACTGATAATAGAGCAATACGTCTCGTTGATTGCTGATGTGTGTCGCTGTGGTCAGTTCCATACTTGCAACAACAGCACTCCAACAGATCTATACAAATGAAAAGTCACCAGAAACAACATTATGAAGCAGGTTTCTATGTTTACAGTAATCAGTGTGAAAGTCAGTGTGTCACAATGAAGTCACACCTGTGTGTTCGAATTTTCAATATGTACAATTATTTCATTGTGATTTCTGATTAAATCATTACAAGCCATTTGACCCAGATGTTGGATGTCAGCACTGTTGCCTGGTTCGAACTGCAATATTGAATATGAGAACAGCTTAAATCAGTCAATATTATCAGCATTGTGTTTTGTTTAACTTCCATTCTCTTCAATACATAGCCAAAAGTTCTATATTGTCGCTGGGATTTGTCAGATACTTCTGGAGGCCGTGGGGAAGCCCTGTGGTTAAAGTGTTCGCTCGTCACGCCGAAGGCCTGGGTTCAATTCCCCACATGGGCACATTGTCTGAAGCCCATTTCTTGTGTCCCCACTGTGATATTGCTTATTGCAAAAGTTCCCAACTCACTCACTCCCAGATACTTCTGATAATGTGGAAACTTTCCTTTTCAGTGTGAACCTGATGAAGTAAGATATGCATCAGATACTGTCCCATTAGTGCCAGTGTATTAGTATATGCAATTATTTCTGTGTTGCAGTGACGTGTTCATTCTTGGCCGTGCCCTTGTGTTCTAAAATAAAATAAGGTACACTGTGCAGGTATGGGCGGGTCTTGTTTGCGGATTCAATTCGATTCATTCAGTTTGCTTTCTCCTGGCAGCTTTATTATGCAAAACTCCAAAATAAGTAGGTTTTTTTTTGTTGTTTTTTTTGTTGCATATTTAAATTCAGATTTGTTTGACATGATATACTCATGCAGTGTTTGCCATGACGCAGAAAACCTGCGTATTTGACGCATAAATTATCTCAAATACGCAGTGAATTTAGAAGCCTGCATCATTGTTGACGCAATGCTACTGGGCCCTTAGTTCAGATAATGTATACTTCGGTTTCTTTGTGATGACTGGGGTTTTTTTTATTAAATACCTGACCTGCCTTACCTTACCTTGTTTTTTTGTCACTATTAAACAATCACAGTGATGTCTTGATGAAAGTTCCAAACTGAAGTTGACTCCCCAAAACATGTCCATGACTCCCTCTCATGACATCCGGGAGTCATGCTGACACGTAAAATTTTATGACTAGGGCAAACACTGCTCATGGTAATCCATGGTAATGACTTCGTATTCAAATGAATGCAGGGATAGAAATACTTTTTTTTCCTAAGTGTGCCTTAGGGCACCAGGCAAATATTTTAAATGTGCCTTTCAGGAATTAAGTGTGCCCACATGTTTTTTAGAATAAATGATT